AAAACACACACAAAAAATAACTATCATCCAATATTGTTTTAATGACATCATAACTAACTTATAATGCATTCATAACCGTACAATCCTGTTGTAATTGTATGGCCCCAAAACACATTACACCACATATTGCACAAGTGCATGTGTGAGTTCAGGTTCAGGTTCAAGTGTTAGTGTACGTATTCTTTGTGAACGGTGGACTTCCTGTCGGGGAGGGGGGCAGAGGGAGGGGAGACCAGGTGCGTGTTGCGAAAAATTATTGTTACTGTGGATGAAGGGGGAGGGGTGTCTAAAGTCAAAGATTAATCTTGATTGGGCCAAGTTTGACCCAGAGTGACCCAAAACAATTCTGCTGGGTCTCCCCACACCCCAACACCAAATTATACACTTTTTTTTTTAGAGACCTTCAGACTTGGCTAAAATTGTCAAAATCAGTTTTGTAGTGTTTATATATCTGTTGTGGAGGATATCATGAAGCCTTGTTCCGATAAAAAACACTAGAGCATAGTTATTCTATCATTTTAACTAGAAAGGGGTCACGGGAGACCCGAACACAACATAAGGGTTAAGAGTAGTGAATAAATTAACTGGCTTAACTGCGGAAATTAGTCTAAAACCTGCATTTTGCCACCTCAAGTTTCCCTGTTGAGAAGTCAATGATTCATAAAATGTGTTTTTAGTTAGATGCCTACATTAACACAATTTAGTTTTTGTTTTGAGACATTAAATACGTCAGTAAAAGCTCCACTCGTGAATATCTGAGGCTTCTATGTATCTAAAAAATGCCGGTTGCAAAAAAGTGACTAAATAAACTACTAAAAGTCAACACGGCGAACATTAGCCACCTTTAGCTTACTGGGTTGTGATGTCAAGTCATGTGACCGTCATGTAATTCTTATTTCTTGTTAGCTGGCCGGCTCTGTTGTGATTGGTCAACCGCTTAGAGATGTCCCGCCCCTTAACCTATCACGTACAATGTTCCGGAAGTAAACACAAGGAGTCCAATGGAGGCATTTCAGGCGAGAACCAATAGGATTTCCGACTTTACAGACCATTTACATGCATTAAAAACTATATTTCACACTACAGGAAAGGGGAAACCACAAAAACCATAATAGGGCTTCTTTAAATGAAAGATAGGGTCATCATGCAATCGGAAAATGAAGTGTGACTAAGGCTCAGTTCACACCTTATTCATAAGCGTTCCCTGTTGTAAATTCACGTCTGGTAACAATGCAACCTGACAGCAGCGTTTCAACAGCTGACATCACATCTGTTTCTGCAGCTTCTCATTCCAGTTTGTGTTTAACTGAGTGCACACGTCTCCCTGAATCCAAATCAAATCACTCTTTGTTTTTCCTGACATTCTCATTTCCTCCATGCAGCCTTAAAACCAGCTGTCTCAGTTGAGAAGAGTGTCTTATTGTCATGGCTACGACAGAAAATTGCAATCTGAGTGTTGTTGTAATTATTTATTATAACAATAAGCAGTATTTTATTTTAAATCCTATATTATTTGTGTATATTTCACTTCTCCTGCATTTCTTGCACTTCAGTTTGCAACAGTCTATTTCTAAGTGGTATTTCTTGCTATTTATTTGTTTATGTCGAATATATATTTATGTTGCATTGTTGGAGGAGCCTGGGACTTCAGCATGTCATTGCTGTAACTACACTGTAGCTGTGTATAAAGCTTTTGAATTGAATCGAATAAATATGAATTGCATGTGGGAATTGCACTTATATAAAAAAAGGGCTGCTTTTTGATCCACACGATGGCTAGAAAATGTCAGATTTGTGTCACTCAAAAGCTCCAAAATGAAAATTGGGGTACACTAGATAAAGAAAAACATCCCACAGGTTGATAAGAACACAATTTTCCAGGTATTTAAATCGGATGACATTAAGAAAGCAGGTCTGGATGAAAACACAAGAATGGTTTTACGAGTAGCTGAAAGTGAGATGTGTGTGAGTCACAACGTCAAAACCTCTCTGTCACCACCTCGATTATCCAGAAACCAAAAAAACTCAACACAGGGAAAGGGAGAGGGACGCCTCTGTTCACACCGCCAGAAATTGGGGGGGCTAGTTACCATGCCGACGGGAGGCGGTTCAGTTTCTATAAAAAGCCAGTAGTGTGTTTTCACTTTACATAATTCCAGTCACTTTGGATTTTCCACTCTGCTCCTCGGGACCAAGGGGAGCTACATTACCGAAGCAGGTTTTAAGGGGAGGAGGACCGACCAATCAGGGCGCCTGCAGCTTCGCTCCGTCGCTTTAGATCTGCAGACATGTCATCTCCACATAGGGGTCTTTATTCTGACGTCTGTGAAGGGCTATGAGAGCAGACACACCCCACTTTAACACAACTTAAGCATGCATGTACTGGAGAGCATAGAAATGATTCTCTCTACAATATCTACCAATATTCATACTGGTTTATATACTGATATACACCTGAACATCAGCAGGAGAGGACTCTTTAAAGTAGACTCACTACATACTGATATACACCTGAACATCAGCAGGAGAGGACTCTTTAAAGTAGAGACACTACATACTGATATACACCTGAACATCAGAGTAGAGACACTACATACTGATATACACCTGAACATCAGCAGGAGAGGACTCTTTAAAGTAGAGACACTACATACTGATATACACCTGAACATCAGCAGGAGAGGACTCTTTAAAGTAGAGACACTACATACTGATATACACCTGAACATCAGCAGGAGAGGACTCTTTAAAGTAGAGACACTACATACTGATATACACCTGAACATCAGCAGGAGAGGACTCTTTAAAGTAGAGACACTACATACTGATATACACCTGAACATCAGCAGGAGAGGACTCTTTAAAGTAGAGACACTACATACTGATATACACCTGAACATCAGCAGGAGAGGACTCTTTAAAGTANGTGTGTGAGACAGCAAACTTACCATTGCAGTTCTTTCTGTTATTTTTCTCAAGCCTCTCTGTAAGTAAGAATGAGTTCTTCAGCTTTGGAAATTCACACTTTTCTGTCTGCACGTCAACCTCCACTCGAGTAGCAATAAGCTAGCTTGTTAGCAAACGTTTATAGGTCTTTCTCTCAGCACAGGTGTAAGTGGTTAGATTAACAATGGCTTTGTTGTATTAAAGTGTCTCTGTGAGCATGTAAACCACACCAGCGCCCAGAAACCGAAGCAGGCTAATTGAATTCAGCTGTTGTTCATTTGAGCATTTACACCTGTGCTTGTTCTCATGTGACGTTGCAAAATGTCCTCTTGGAGAACGACCTATTGGCACCCTATGGCTGTGTTCGAAATCACATACTAATGTTTTGTATACTACACTCGATCTTTATGTTCTGCATACTTTCTACTAGATTAAAGATTAGGAATGCCATTTCCAGCAGCAGGTAAACTCAATGCAATGTATCTACTTAACATGACTGTATTTGAAAGTTAAAGGTACGTGCGACCGTTTAATTAAAATTAAACTTAACTACTATTTAAGGCATATTTTCATCTACAGTACATTATGTATTTCTCTTTCATTTTCTTTTCATCAATCGTAATTATCTTACATGACGTTCAATTATTTGAATCTGCTGGGCTATTTCCCATTGGACGGTCTAAAAAGCAGCATTTTGGGTAGTTGAGTACAGTATGTCCAGTAAGCTATAGTCTCATACTTAGAAATTCCTGCTAAATTAGTTTTCGCTGGAAATTCCTTTGCACATCATTTGTCATGCCAAGTTTAGTGTATATCCTGTATTGGTATGCGATTTCGACACAGCCTTCTACTTTCTAAAGAATGTATGTGACTTCAGGTATGAGTTCTTCTGTAAACTATAATAGCATTGTTGTAAAAAAACGGTGGCAAAGGTTTTCACTCTTTTTTGCTTTAAACATATCAGGGATCAAATCCATGCTGCAGGCCCTCATAATACCTTGACAGACACAAAGGTCATTTATGCTGAATAATTGTAACCTGTATTCCACAGTGAACACATCCTCTGGCATTTTTCTCCTTTCTCGTTGAGTCTGAATACACTTTTAAGAATGTATTTGGGTTTCATTTGGACAAATAGCCTGCTGTTTTGTAATGTCTTGCTCTCTTGTCTAAAATGGACTCAGGTTTTTTTAAATCCAATGTGAAAGAAATGTAAAAATGCAACAATGTCCCTGTTTTATCCCAGTTAATCCCATCTTTATTTCTTCTGTGCTTTAATACCGCTTTGTATCTGTGACAGAACAAAATAAAGTGCCACCTTTTTTGGGGACCAAAGCCAAGTAAGATGCTGTTTATTGCTTTTCAATGTTTCCCCTTTGCTCAGGTCAATGGTGGTTATGTTAAACCAAAATGTAAAAGAAGATATTAAAGTGTTTGACCATTGCTGTTGTTTCACCGTGTCCTACTGGCAGATGAAGAGTTTTATTCCAAAACATGTGTACAGTACAACTGTGCTGATTTATAAGGTATATTGATTAAGCCCAGTCAGAAGTACCTACGCTTTTGGGTACAATACTAAGGCATTTCTTAAACTACAACAAAAAAAAAAAAGTCTGAATTGCTTTTCCACAAACAAGTTTTATCTGGTCTTTTTTCATGTAATTATTATTCTAGGAAAACATGTCTTTTGGAGTGGGGCTCTTCAAATGTTTGTGCTTTAGGCATGTTGAACTTTACTGAGCTTTAGGCAATGAAACCCAAAACTGAAGCACGAAAAACAAACCTGTCATGCCTAAAGACTCTGGGAAACTGTGGCCAAATGAGACATGTTGACTGTTCTCGTGTGTGATGTAAAAGTAAGCAATAAAAGCCCTACTCAAGCTTTCATGTGTTCCGTATGGGTTTCCTTTTTTTCTCAATAAAGTGGTGCAGTAATAAGTGCTCAAATCCAGAAGTGACTCAGCCATTTCCCTATTGTGTGTGTTCACTTGTCTCGAAGTCCACGCATAGTCAAATAATTCACTAACGGAAAAGTAATTAAAGACACACAGGCGTCAGGTTACGAACATTTATATCTGACACAAAATCTTCTATGAATGAATCCAAATCTACCTCAGTCCGGACTCATCATCATACTGTGGCTTCAAAGTTAGAAATATAAATTCATTCTTTATTGTGGGGCAAAATATATATTTGAACAAATGTCTAACTGAATGCAGTGTAAAATAAGCAAATCTAGTTTTCTCATCAGAGTGAGCATTTGTAAACTGACAACCATTCAAGAAGAAGAAACAAATTAGCTGATATAATATTAACAGAACAATGATAACTAAATGTCTGACTTTCCTAACACAAGACAACAAAAAGTAACCCCAGACTGAAAGGAAATGAGACGATAAGGCAGGTTTTCTTTTTTAAACAAATTATTTAAATTGTTGACATAAAAGGAACAGATATTAAAGCGTTACGGAAAACCGTGCCGGCAACATCGACGAGCTACAAATGGCCTTTTCATTTTGTTGAGTCAAAGCACGACATCAACCAATCCTCGGGTTGTGTCTAAAGGTCCTGTTGTTTAACTATCATACATGCAAGCTTTAAAACTGTCAGTACTGTAAAAGGGGGGAGAAGTCCAGGTTCATGCCAGGATATGTTGCTTGCTATTTTTCCGACAGATTAAAAGACGTGTGCGTTGTTGGGGGGATGGGGGCGGAGCTCTAAAAAGCAGGAAGCAGTGTGATTGGCCAACCACTGCTAGGCAGAGCTTTGGCGTAGCTACAAAGCCCGTCAGCCGGTCTTTCTCCTGGATAGAAAAATAAGATCAGGAGTTCCTGGGGAGGCAGCAGGTTTGTGTGAGGCGTTGACATGGCAGACTAAACGGTCTCTTTTCATCGTGGTGTCCACCCTTCTTCCACGGCTCACATGGACTCAAACTCATCGATGCGCTGCTTTGTGTTGCCCTGGCGGATCTGGCGCAGGGTTTTGTATTTGTCTCTTCCCGCCCGGACGTTCTCAGCGTGCAGCATGTCGTTCTGAGTCTTCTTGGTGTCATCACGGGCCTCGGCCAACTCTGAACTCAGAACCTGGACAGAAGAGAGACAGAGATATAGATGAGATCAGTGGTGGATTTTTTTTTAGAATAAGTCAGGCCACGATGCATGAACTTAAATGTATCAAGCCAGTATTTGGATGCATTATGCAAAGCGTCTTTGAGCACTAGGAAAAGCGCTATACAAATTCAATGTATTATTATTATTATTATTATGTCGTTATGCAACATTTGTATTACACTAGCATGGCTTGCTATGTGACACAGGGCTACACGATATCAGCCAAATGTGAAAGGTATGTGGAAGGTATGCTAAATTGAATAATATTAAAAAAAAGTAATAATGTTTAAGCTGTACCTGAAGTTCTTTCTTCAGATTCAGATTGCATGATAGCAAGTAAAAAGAAATAACAATACATTCTGTGACCAATCTCAATAAGAGCCTGTTTGCAAATGTAATGGACAATTAAGCAATCTAATGCTATCGTATTGCGACTTTTAGGCTTTTGGCTGAATAGGACTACAGAAGTTGTCGAGGACGTTGTATGTCATTACGCCGAACACGTAAACACTCCCGCTAAATTTGTTTGCCCTGTTCTGCTTGAAAGCAAGTACCTGCGCTCTTGAAAACTGTTATAACAAACGCTTCAACTTGTAAAAAATTGTATATGTATTTTTGAATATCGATCTTAAGTTGGCGTGACGTTGAAGTCGTGCTGCTGTACTCGGCTGTAGTTCCTTTATAGCATAACGTTAGCATTTTGCTTCTGGCGATTAGATTTATGATTCGAAAATGATAAAAGTAGGGTAGACACACGTGGAGATTATCCGGCTGAACAAAACGTGCATTTATCAAACAGGTTCCTTTTCCACAGATCTTATTTTTTACAATATTCCAAAATCCTATGGAGAAATCCCGTTGCTTTTTTGTCGAGGGAACCGTGCGCAGCTTACTTCCGGGTCGGTCTACAAAAATACGTCATCCCTGCACCACTCTATAAGAGCTTGCCAATTTAAAGGTGACCTATCATGCAAAATGCACCTTTGTACGTCTTTTCTACATGAACATGTGTCCCCGGTGTTCCAGGGAACTCACCAAGTGTCAGAAAACACAACCCTCTCTATTTTCCTCCATACCCAAATCTCTTAAAAAGGGGCTGCAACNTTGAAACGGGTCACGGGAGACCCGAACACAACATGAGGGTTAAAAGATTTGATGATGATGGTTCTTCATTGATGACGCATTGATCTTTCTAAAAACTGACAATCATGCATACGCACTTGAATCCTACGAAAATGCACCAAAAAGACATTGTGGAGTTTGTTAGACTGAACTCAACAATAGTGCATCACACTCAGCCGACATGACATCCTGATGAATCAAAGCCTCCCGTGTTGCTCGGTATTCAAAACCAAATCCTTCACATTATTATAAATGCTGTCAGAACAGTTGAAGATAATATTGAAGATATACGACGTCGTGGGGGTCTTAGCAGGCGCGACCTAAAAAGGCTCCAGCATGCGGAGAATGCAGAGCTGCTCAGAAACACTTGTTCTGTGTGTGTGTGTGTGTGTGTGTGTGTGTGTGTGTGTGTGTGTGTGTGTGTGTGTGTGTGTGTGTGTGTGTGTGTGTGTGTGTGTTCAACAAGTGCTGCTCGTAAGGCTGAGTCATTCCAGTTCTAGTGCAGCGCTACTGCTGTCGCTCCAGTTGGCCTCGGTCCAGTGACACAGACAACTGTCCCTCTATAGTCAGCACCACAGGCAGCTGCGCTCGTCTTAGTCTACTAATTACTACAGATCTAATTATCATTTGTAATATTCCTATTATAACGCTTATAACAATTAGTGCAGATCAATGTGTCTGGGAAGATTTGAATGAACCGGAGAAATGGGAGACCTTTTGGTCAAATAATGTCTGTGTTTAGAAATGAACTTGAATTGAATTGGTAGGAATGCTACACTAAGAAAGACCCAATATAGGCATGTAGATGTAGAATCAAGCTGTTTGAATACAACAAGTCCCATCAATAGATGTGTGCAGGAAAATACAGACAGACTTCTGCAATAAGTTCCTCTACTGAATCTGGTGCTATGATAATGCTAGTTATAGCCGGAGGTCATCAGTCTGTGCAAGAAATACACAAGCCTGTGGATAACTCTTAATACAAATAATTTCCCTTAGTTAAAGGCCTTAATATAATCATTTAAGATAATGAACTTGCATTATACACCTTGCAGTTGCTATTGGACATGCGGCACAGCAGTGTGTGACAGAAACAGGAAGCTGGATTAACTGTGAACATCCAAAATGGCTATATTCGACAAACAGTGATCTCTGTTAAGCTTAGTGAGAAACCCCAGTAATAAAGAACCACAAATCAAAAGTGTTAAAACCACTGTAGCCTATTAAACTAAACGACATGAGGCATGTTTGACTAAAGGGCCAATAAAAGAGAACAAAGGAGCAAACAGGTCCTGCAGAGCTAAGTGGCGCTGAACGCACTAATGAACTCAGTCAGGTTGAGAGTTCCTGTCGGGACCACCCATGCTGGAAACGCATGCTACTGTAGGGTGTTTTAAATAAGCAGCATGTGTCGTGGAATAGCAGAAATAGCAGAAAGAGATTTGGGAAATGACTCCCTGGGTGTCCTGCAGACAGGTCAGGGGTCAAAGGTCACTACAGGTGGTGATCAGAGTTAACTGTCATGGTGCTAAGTTCACTTGACACTCCTGTACTTATGTATATATAATAACTTGCTTTATATTTTGTTCTTGTTCATTTGTAAATTCAACATGTATATTTTCTACTTTCTTGTTTAATTCTAGTCTTTTTAATTTTGCCATGCTTTTATGCTGCTGCAACACAACACATTCCTATCTTATCTCTTACGGAGCAGTATGTCCTCTAAGTGTCTTCAATTTGGACATTTGAAAAGTTAATATAAGCCATATTCTGCTTATTTTGACGTTCATATTTGTATTTTGTGCCACCATTTTATGTTTCCATGCTTTAATGTTCAAAAAGTTCTTTATTTTATGGTTAAAATATGGTTATGCTGACCGGCTCTGATGTGATTGGTCAACCACTTAGAGATGTCCCGCCCCTTAGCCTATAACGTACAATGTGAGCCAATAGAAGCGCAAGTGTGTCAATATGTTCAGGAGTCCAATGCAGGCGGTAGAAACTTGGAGAATTTCACCCTTTGCAGACCATTTACATGCACACAATCCTACACTACAGGAAAGGGAAAACCCCCAAAAGAATAATAGGGCCTCTTTAAACTTGCAGGAGGCGATAGATGGGGTTGGGAAATAAACTCAGTTTCAAGGTTGGCCCCTTCTTTGCTAATAGCACTTGTGTAATAACTTCTATTGAAATCATCCTATCGTACGGAAATCAGCTGACACAGCGTATAATCAAGAACACCTTGCACATACTGTACTATTGTTTTTATTACATTACCTCACAAGCTACTGTTGCATACGTGTTTATAGTAGACTATGTGTATATGTTTCTGTCCTTTAAGTAGATTGGTATATTGGACAGTATTCAAATGTATATTTGATAGTGTGTAGATACCCCTCTGAATATGTATTTTATACTGTGATAATGTAGATATTTGCTTTGAATGTTTATTTTATTCGTATTTTATTCTATTTCTAAGACATTTATGTACTTCTTGCACAAGACAAAAAACTTACGGTATAAATTAAGTAATCTATCTATCTATCTTACACAGGAGGAGTTAGGATGTCTCAATAACTGGGTGTTGCTATTCAAGAGTTATTGTAATATAGTGACAGTAACTTTAGGGTTTGGCTGATGGGAAAGCTGAGGCTTCGGCAGAGCAGTCATTTTGCCTCATGGCTGCAAAAATGACAAGCATCAACACACACACACACATTTTGTCATTTCTCAGCCCTTCCTGGGAATCCCACAGGAGATGAGAGCCCGCAGCGATTCATCTAAACTGGTCTTCCGCTCAGTGACTCCTCACTGCTCTATCGCAACGATTTATAGAGCGAGCAGACGAGGGTTTATGTAACAAGAGTGTTGGGAAGTCACCAAGCGTTGATGAGCTCAGAGCCGAGGCAATGAAATATGATCTGGAAAAACCTGAAATGAAATGCTTATCACACGTCAAAACTGTCTAAGACATGATTTTACCCCAGTAGATATTTAGCAGTGTCTATAGGTCTAATGCAGTGCTTGATGACATTGCATTGCGTAGTGGGAGAAAATGAAGCAGGTTACTCAGGGTATATGCAGGAATCCTGAAGTCAGATGTAAAACCTCTTAAGACCTTTTTTAAGACCCTTTCCATACATTTTAAGACCTCATCGCCACTTGGAGTTTTAACCGGTTACCTTGGCGACACACTTTACCTCACATTGACTATATACAGTATTGATTGTCCTTCCTCCTTATCTTCCAACCATTTGGNTGGGCCAACTCCACCAATCAGGAGGAGACAGCCACGGACATTGCCGTTGGAAAGCGCTGGAGACGCTGTAGTACATATGCCAGGCCTGTAGATGGTGCTGTTCTCACAGAATCAGCCCATGCAAAGACAGTGTTAAATTGAGCGAAATGAGGAATGCATGATCTGTTTGGTATTTTGAAAAATAAAAATTATGAATATACCTTATATAGGTATGGTCCTACACTATATTATTCAAATATAGCATGATAGGTCCACTTTAATGGACAATTAAGCAATCCAAATCTGAAGATGCTATCATATTGGGATTTTCAACAGAATTTGAGAAGAGAGTAATGTTTGAGCTGTACCTGCAGTTGTTTCTTGACGCGCTCGTTCTTCTGCGCCTCAGTGACGCGCTCCTCTTCGCTGTGGTGGATCAAGCCCTCGCTGAGGAGCTCGGCGCTCGCCTCGGCCCTCGTTTCGTCCTCCTCATCGTTTTCTGGCGCCGGAGGAGACGTCATGGCCGACTTCAGCTCCTCTCTGGTCTTCTCCAGGTCGTCCTGTGCTGACAACGCCTGCAAAAAGACACACATGGAAACTTGTAGTGAGTCTACAGAAAGAAGCTCAATGTAATACCTGAAGACTTTTACAGGCACTGGGTAGGTTTGCCATCTAAGTCAAATAACTTTTTAAACAAATGTTATAATAACAGTATGAATAGTGAGTTGAAACATTAAAGAATACAATGAAAAAATAAATTATAATAATTCATAATAATACAATAAAAACAAGAATACAATTTGTTTATAATAATAAAAAAATACAAGTCTAATCATATGATAATATTAATAATAATTACAAATTGAATACCAGTAGTTGTATCCCAAAATAAAAGCAGAGAATATTTATGTAAATCCAGGGGTTACATTACTTTGTGTTGCCATTCTGTTGCTTCATCTTCTTTTTTCCTCTTGGCTTCCTCGAGCAGAGAGATTTTGGCAGTGAACTCCGCTAACTCAGCAGCCTGTCCAAAAACAACAACACATGTTAGCTAAAAGTTAACAAATTGAGCTCATTGTGGCGTCCAAACAAAAGTCCTGAAAACCTCAACGGTATTTCCAGTTTAATATAATATGAAACAGACAATATGGAAACAAAACTTGGCTTATTTGAGAAACTGATAGTAGATAAATGTCCTCTAGTTGATTAAAGCCTAAACCAATGAAACACTGTCTGTTATTAGTTTTTACATTACATGTTGTTGTTCTTAAGCCTTTAACCGAGGTGACTCACACACCCCTTAAGACTACATGCTAAATGGATATATTTTGGGGTAAGGTACATTGACATGCTGTCTTCTAGCCCCTGCGCCAAAGTCAATTGCTGTATAGTAATACACTTTAAGCAAAGTGTAAAATTGGTTTAAAGGAAGAAAAACAAAACAGGAAGTACAAGTAGAATAAAAAGATGTAGGTTTTTAAAAGGAAAGTCACATTTAATGGATTGATCGAAAGATTAGCATATGCCTTTCAAGGTAAAGTCATTTTAACCAGTAGTAATGTAGGAGTGGAGAAGAATGGCTGTGAATGGTGTGTGTGTGTTGTAATGGGTTTGACCTTATTTTAATGAGTGGGGTGCCAGTCAGAAACAAGTCTGACAAATAATAATAAAAAAAGGAAAAAAAATTGTTAAGTCAAACCATACACAAAGTCATTCAATTATCCAGCACATAAACGGCAATGCAGTACAAAACGAATCACTGTCTCCTTCTTTTCCTGTGTCTGTCTGTCTGTCTGTCTGTCTGTCTGTCTGTCTGTCTGTCTGTCTGTCTGTCTGTCTGTCTGTCTGTCGTGTCTGTGTGTGTGTGTGTGTGTGTGTGTGTGTGTGTGTGTGTGTGTGTGTGTGTGTGTGTGTGTGTGTGTGTGTGTGTGCAGCAGGTACCAGTTGCTCCTGGTTCTTCATCTGGTCTACAGCCTGCTGAGCCAGCGCTGCCTTGGCCTCCTCGGCCGCCTGCCTCTCTCTCTCCAGCCGCTCCGCCTCCTCCTTCGCTTTCTTCCTCTCCTGCTCCAGATCCAGCGCCCGGCGCGTTTGCTCCTCCAGCTCTGCACACACACACACACACACGTGAAAATACATCAGACCACCTCATAATGTACAAGTGAACATTATATTTTCATCTAGCTGACAATTTAATCTCCAACACACATGGAAATAGATTTTCAGACCACCTCAAACCCCAACACAAGTGAACATTACAATTCATCTAGCTGATTTAATCTCCGACACACAGGGAAATACATCAGACCACCTCGTAATGTTCAAGTGAGCTTACATTTTCATCTAGCTGACGCTTTTATGTGCATTCAACCATTTAATTTAATTTGTTCATTTCATGGTATCCACAACTTCATGTCTAACAGTTATTTACAAAACGTGTCTCTATAAACACACCATACCCGAAAAGGAGCATGAAGAAACAAACTGAAAAGCAAGAATCCCACAGCTACTTTCCTATCTATAATCCAACCAGAGTAAGTGATACTGCATTCCCTTCACTTAAAGCCAAATCATTTGTAAGTGCTACGTACAGAAGAGATTTATTTTTATTTTTATATCGTTGGCAATGATGCAGTCGAAACACGTGAGTTTTCAGCCTGGGACCGAATAGGTGTAGACTCTCTGATGTCCTGATATCAAGGGGGAGCTTCTTCCACCATTTTGGGGCCAGGACAGCAAACAGGCGTGTTTTGGTAAAGTCCACTTTGCAGTGAGTGAGTAGCAAACCGATTGGCCGATGCAAAGCGAAGTTAAAGTTAACCGAAATCGTGAAATACACTAATGTGCAATTTACCCTATATTTTCTTTACTTTTTATTGTATTTGTTAACATTACAGACTTCCTTGTATATGTTCACTTACTTCAAAATGTGCCACTTATTTCTTTCTTTACCATCGTGTACTTATAGTGTTTCAACTGATTTGTACACACACACACACACACACACACACACACACACACACACACACACACACACACACACACACACACACACACACACACAGTACCTTTCTGAGCTCTCTGCGTCTGCCCTTCGATCTGCCTCAGCCTCTCGAGCAGCTCGTCCTTCTCTCTCTCTATCCGATCCTTCTCCTTCTCCGCGTATTCTCGTTTCTTCTTCTCGTTCTCCAGCTGAGCTCTGTCAGGAAAACACAAAACAACGGTCACAGCCCGCAGGTGAAAATTCTAATCATACACCAGAAAATCCGAAGCAAACTGCATGTTATGGACTTTTTCAAATTGTAATTTTCGAAATTGACACATTGATATAGGAAAACTGAATTGTATGGTGTCATGAGTAAAACATTTTTTGTACAGCACAATGTAATATTTTTTTAACCAACATTAAAAGAGCTATGTTGCGGTTGTGGTGTTTTACACTGAAACATCAGCTCCTGCCCTGCACATGAGTACGTTAGCATGTTAGCATGTTTCCTTCGATGCAGCACTGCCCCCTACTGGCCATAGAGCTTTATCAAAAACCTTAAACAAAACATCAGCTGATATTTGTTAAAAAACAAGTGTCTCAAACTATTCAATCCCACACAGAATTCACTGGAAAGGAAAGCTACTTTTTACAGTTTGGCAGTGTCAGATTTATTATTTGAATAACTCCAATATACGTATGTTTGTATGCTGTCATATAAACCAATTAAAGGTAGTATTTTTGCCAGTGTTTATAAGATAAGATAAGAAGTACTTTATTGATACCAATTTGGGACTTGTTTGTGTTGCAGCAGCATAAAAAGACATGGCATTGTACAATCAAAATTAAAAGACTAGAAAAAATAAACAAGAAAGTAGAAATATACATGTTGAATGAATTATGTAGACAAAAGGGCATATTGGAATAATGGAAAAACAGGTACATCTTAAATTCCAGCAAGAAGACATGTAAAATGGTGCTTCCAATCCAACCTACAGCCCTTAATGTATTATATTTTGTATTTATTGATTTAATTAACAGGTACATTCAACTTTGCTGAAAATATGCCAGAGTTATCCAAGAGGCCATTTTTCATCTGTAGCCCCGAGAACTATGTTTCAAAGTCACCTTATAATAAATAATATTTTAGAAAATACGCAGCGTGTACTGTACCTCTCCATCTGTTTGTGGTGCTTCTCCTCCCGGGCCTGGGCCTTCATCTGCTGCACCTCGATGGTGTCGGGCTTCCTCCTCCTCATGTACAGCTCGTGGTTTCCCATGCACAACGCCAGGATGCGCTTATTGATCCGCAACCGAGGGGCGTAGAATACAAAATCCTGCAGGAGATACGAGGGATGGAAGGTGTTCAAATATACTCAATACAAATATATATATATCTTCAGTCACACAACGCTACAACACTTACTGGGGCTTTCTTGTCGATGGGCTTGATGACAAACTTCTTGTCGTTGAAGGAAATGTTTCTGATCTCACTCCAGGGGAAGCCGATCTTTGGGGACAACCTGAGAGGAGAGATATTTTATTAAAGATTAAAAGATTGATGGAGATTCTTTACCTCTTAAATATTTGAACACAATTTTATAAGCACATTTGCATGCCTTGAAAGTAAACAAAACTATAATATTTTGAAATGTCTGTCTGTCTTCAGGTTGTGCATCAGCTGTCCAAAAGAGGGCGCTGTTGTCAAACCCATTCAATCCAAGGTCCTCAAGAAAGATGACGATGTGTACACTTTAAATCGACAGTGGAAACTAGACAACAATCCATTTTGAATGTATTGAATCCCAGTTTATATACCTACATTTATTTTGAATTAGAAGAAAATATGTTCCATTATGCTCCTTAAGAGAGGTTCAACCAGACAAGCAACAAAGGGAAACAAAAGTATTATTAGGTTCTGAACACCAACAACGTCTGGTTGTAGGGCCCTATATTCACGATATTTAACAGGCAGGTGTAGCACAAGTAGAATAAAACATAAATCTCTTGGGGCGATTATCTAAACTCAACAGGAAGTTATCCATTTTTTATTTAGTGTGATTTTTTCATGTATTTTGGCCATTATCAGGCTCCGTACTTTAACCTCTATGGATTTATTCCAACTTTACTTTTGTTAAGTACCTCTCTAAAACCATAAGGGTAAAAAGTTATTCAAAGTTTTCTGTTACATGCAAAGTAGCTTGAGACACTCGCCATGATACAAGATATTGGTGCAACTTCTGAGCACATTCTCCTCACTGATCCGAATGTTGTGTGCTTGATAATAAACCTGGCCTCAGGATTTAGGCAGGTCAATGTTGAGTCATAGTCAAAGCGCCACCTACTGTAAACAGGAAGTCAGTCCTATGTGATTTACGGATTTACATTTCAGTCATAAAAATCATGTCAATCTCAGCTCAACCCATTCAAGAAGTGAAGTCCACTTGTTTGGTCCAGTCTCCAATGCTCAGCCCAACTTTCATTTAATTGTTTTAGATGTCAAAATAAGAATTTGTTGGTGGAGACATGTTGCCACTTAATACACATGTATAAGAGATGTATTGCTCTTAGTAAAGTATATTGCTGTCACTTACTGCAGGCTATCTTCCTCAAATAAACTATTTGAGTGGGCGTTGTGGTTTCATTTTCTTCCTCTTTATTTTTATTTCAGTTTTTTATGACATGCTGATAACATCAACTAGACCCAAGCAATGTCTCACAAGCTCTTAAAATAAAGCTGTTCTACTTAATAATAATAATAATAAAAGGAAATTGAATTTATATAGCGCTTTACATAGTCTCAAAGTCGCTTTACAGTTTGGAGGGGGGGGGGTGTTGGAGAAGGACAGACGAAC